TGAAACTTCGTGAAGACATATACGTGACATGGCATCGGCGACAACGTTATTGGCAGCATCGACATGGCGAATGTCGGTAGAAAACTGTGAAATGTAATCCAAATGACGAATTTCTCTGGGGGAGAAACGGTCGGATGAACCACGGAAAGCAAAAGCAAGTGGTTTATGGTCTGTAAGAATGGTAAAAGTGCGACCTTCAAGCAGGTGCCGAAAATGTTTGATAGCAAGGTAGATAGCTAAAAGTTCTCGACCGAATGTGCTGTATCGCGTCTGTGCTGGCTGGAGTTTACGAGAGAAGAAGGATAGCGGCTCAGGTTGGCCGTTGATTGCTTGCTGGAGAACAGCCCCAACGGCGGTCTGAGATGCATCAGTCTTGAGGATCAGAGTGGCGTCAACATCAGTCCTCAAATGACTAAGCGCGGTAGCGTTGGACAACGCGTGCTTGATCTTGTCGAATGCATCGATAGCTTCCTGAGTTGGCTCGAATTTCCGTGACTTGCCTTTAAGTAAATCGGTCAATGGCTGGAGTAGCCCAGAGCAATCTGGTATGAAACGGCTGTAGTAATTCACCATGCCGAGAAAACGACGGAGACTTTTGAAAGATTGAGGCATGGGATAGTCTGCAATCGCTTGTGTTTTCTCGGGGAGTGGACTGATGCCATTGCAATCAATTCGGTGGCCCAAAAAATCAACAGAACTTTGGCCAAAAACACATTTGTCAACATTGATCGTAACGCCGTACTGAGCAAAGCGTTCGAAAATCGATCGGAGATGTGACAGGTGCTCATCATGATTGGAACTGGCCACAAGAATATCGTCAATGTAGGCGTAGACGAAATCGAGCCCTCTAAGGACTTGATCGATAAACCTTTGGAAAGTCTGTGCGGCATTTCGTAGACCAAATGGCATGCGAACGAATTCATAAAGACCAAAAGGCGTGGTTATAGCGGTCTTCGGAATATCGTCGGGAGCAACCGGAATTTGGTGGTATGCACGCACCAAGTCAATCTTAGAGAAAACTGTTCTTCCATGTAAGCCAGTTGAAAAATCATGGATGTGCGGAATCGGATATCTATCGGGGACGGTGGCATTGTTTAGTGCACGGTAATCTCCGCAAGGTCTCCAGTCGCCACTGGACTTTTTGGGAACCATATGAAGCGGGGAGGACCATGGGCTATTGGAAGGACGAACGATACCGAGACGAAGCATATGTTCGAACTCTGCCTTGGCAGTAGCAAGCTTGTCTGGAGGTAATCGTCGAGGTCGGGCGGTTACTGGCGGTCCATGTGTTATGATGTGGTGCGTAACTTCGTGCTTAGGCTCAGGAAAGTCATTAGGCGATTGACAAAGAGCAGGAAACTGCAGTAATAGTTTGGTAAACACATTGTCGGCGGGCAATGCCAAGCGAAGACCGATCGAACTGATCGAAGTGACTTTACCCGAAACGGACAAGGATGTCAAACTATCGCATAGTTTACGGTTACGCGGGTCCACGATCAGGCCAAACTTGGTAAGAAAATCAACACCAAGGATGGGGCGTTGGACGTCAGCGATGAGGAAAACAAAGGGAAAACTTCGACGAAGACCAAGGTTAAGAGTCAACATTTTCTGGCCGTATGTATGGATCTTGGTATTGTTCGCCGCCTGCAATGTCAGTCCGGTTGGAAATAGGTTGCGTTTTTCTGCAGAACGAGGAATAACGCTGACCTCGGCACCGGTGTCAACCAAGAAGTTCAAATTGGTTGAGGAATCGTAGACGTAAAGTAGGCGACTGTAAGATTGGCCAGACGCAGCCGTCGCCATCACTGGCTGGCGTGGAGGTTTCCCTGCTGCGGTTTGTGGAATGCCTTCGGATGGTTACAACCAGGTCGGCAATTCCTTGCATCATCGCCAAAACGGTAGTGGTACCAACAGAAATGACGTTTCGAACTCCTGGCGGGACTACGTCTACTTCGAGAGGAGCGTCTAGGGCTTCTACCACGGTAGCGATTAATGCTCGAGATGGCGAGCTCCAGCTTCGATAACCTCTCAGAAATGGTTTCAATCGGGTCAGTCCTAAGATCCGCGTTAGTGGTCGACTCAACTGCGTGACATGCTGAGGGTTGATGAAAGTGCTCATGAACTTTGTCTGCTGTTTCAGCCAGCTTGTCCAAAGACAAATCATCTGCGAAGACGGCGAGAAGAGCTGAGGTGTTCGATGGAAGGCATTTCGTCCAAAGCTGTCGCAGAATCGTGTCATCGAGCTTACAGGTACCGACCAACGTACGCATGTGCCTGAGAAGTTGTGACGGCGTGCGATCACCTAGTTCAAGACCGGAAAGTAATTGTCGAAGTCTAGCTTCGTCGGAGGCCGTGGTGCGCTTTAATACGGCGGCTTTGAGTTTATCGTAAGGTGCGTCAGCCGGAATCGGATCGAGCAAGTCTATAAGGTCAGTTGCGATGTGGGTAGGAAGCTGGGAAGTGACATGTGCGAACATTAAGGACTGAGAAGTAATACGGCGTATGCGAAAAAGAGCTTCCAACTGTAAAAACCACACGTGAGGATTAGAAGAATCGAAGGCAGGGAAGGAAAAACCAACAAAATTTTCTGAAATGTCAGTGCGGGGATGGTGGTCCGACATAGTCAAGTCACAAAAAAAGGAGTTCTGAGCTTTCAAAAAAAGAAAACGGGGTCACCAAATATGTAGTGGAAAAGCCAAACGGAAAGGGCTTAACTACATATAAGAACTCAGTCTATAAATAAGAATGCTGTAGCTGACCTTAGGTAAAGCACGATCCTCGCTAGGCTGTCAGTTAGTCGCACAATCTGGTCGGAAGACGGAACTTAGTCGGCACAATAAATCGACGCGTTAGATCCGATGATCGATGGACGAGGCCAGCAGACAGACGACGACCAACAGCACAACACGCGTAGCGGAAACCAGAAGGCGAATCGAAACCCGAAAAAAGTGTTGTATCGGTCGTTGGTCAGTTAAAACAAAACTGTACAATAATAATGGAAGTGAGAATAGGAAAGTACAATTGGGAAGAAAGATATGTACAAGCGCTACACCTTTTTTCTTCTAACTACTTCCTTTCCAAAGCCGTTTCGGATTGCGTGGTGGGATGTCACGCTTGTGACGGCGTGCATTCTGTTTAATTGCCGCATAAGCCGGATGAAGATACGGCTAACACGCGAGTCCAACCCGCTATAAGCTTGCTTGGCCTTTCATTAGACCCGACCCGAACTTATTTTACTCTATGGGTCATGTAAAGCTCGAGCTTTTATTCCCATTAAATTCAATGTTCCAATGAATAATGGGAAACAAGTACTTCTTCTTTAGCGTCATCATTGTACAGTACAATATTATCCAGAGGGGATAACAGGTAGGAACACCATTACTGACTTTCGTTTTGCGTCTTGCATACGAAAACAGCTTTTTAAGGTCAGTTACGGATTGTCTAGCCTAGGACAGTTGGTAAAGTTGTCGCTTTCCTCTCTTCTCAATAGTGCACAAGTTTCTAACTGCTTTGTACTCCGAATAAGAGGTGGAAGTCTGCTTAGCCTTGAATCTGTCCTGCAGCTTCCTTCGTTCATTCAGGAGGAGCCCCAGTTCTGAATCAATCTACGGGGGACCTTTGGAAAAGGATCTTTTTCTGGAAATGGGGACAATATAGTCAATGAGAGATGTCATTCTAGAACACAAGAGCTCCTATGCATTCTCGAGTTCTAGATGTTGGAGAATGCTCCATTCAAGCGCGCTCGCTGCCGATCTTAAGAGTGAAAGATCGGTGCGCCAGAAGATCCGATAATGCACTGTATTTCGGTTAAATGCGAGACTATTGACCCACAAAAAGGAGACGACACAATGGTCGCTTTTACCAAATGGTTGGAGAACAGTTAGGCTAGACACATCAGATGGTGCCGGAGTAAACACTAAATCGCGAATGTGCGGGAACTGGCCCGGAAGGATTCTAGTAGGCATCTGTACGTGCTGAAACAAATTTGCCTCCAGGACGGATTCGAATAAAACCGCATCGAAGGAGTCGGGAGAAAGATCACATTGTGCAAGATCTCAGTCAACTCTTGGGGCATTGAAATCGCTCATTATCAGACAGTCCCTACTTCCTCCATATTTTTTAACGAATTCAACAAGCAGGAACTTGATCCCAATGGAGCTCTGTATACAATGCTGACGATGAGTAAGCTTGTAGCGACCTGGAGATTCCCCGGTATGACTGTGTAAACTATTCTAAAATACATTCAAATTATAGCTTTCTTATGTATTAGGGAACTAGGCGGTTTGCCTGTTGAAACGTTGTTCCCGTTTGTTGAAAACACGAACGCCATCTCCGCCTTTGGCGCGCGCGACTCGACTGCGAACGACGCTCTGTCAACGCACTCGACGCCATCGACATTCTCCCTAGCTAGCTCTCTCCGGGTGCCCTATTTTTAGCATTAGCTAACGCTCCTCCCGTCCAATAAACTTTTCCCTAGCTTACTGTTGTGTCTTCTATCCATTATTTTTGGTTGGCCGTCTAGTCGCGTACCGAGTTTATAGCGCACGATCTACGCGCTATAATTGGTGACTCCGACGTGACCCGAACACGCAACCTTCTGATGTGGAGTCAGATGCTGACCACTTAACTCAGGTGACTTCGCATGAGAGTGCTGTATACTCTCAGCCCAATCGCGTGCAGACTCCTCTTCCGGAACCAGAGCATACCATATTTGGGCGAATCGAGCCCCGGCTACCATTAGCAAATGAATTTTCTGGCATCGATTCATCTTACCCTTTCGAGTCCAGACATACCTATCGACCTGTGCAAAACGGAGCTCTTCCTGGTGTTACGATACCCAGTGTTCACACAGTCACGACTTCAGTTGGCAACACAGTTCCCACTTCGGCTGTGCTTTTTCACCTTTGATCGCGTCGCAATCGGCTGTTTCGAATGCTACCCGGGGTGCCGGCGATACCGCTAGCATTAGTTTATCCGGTGGCAGCGAAGATGCCGCGTCAATGAAGACATTGGACCACCTTATCGGTGTGACTAGACACCATGCCGCCACCACTAACAGCAGCCTCGCAGGAGGCATTGGTACCGGTGTCGTGGCCGCTGTGGATGTCATCCACGAGAATGGTGAATATGCCCACCCTCCCACATTGCCTGTTCTGGGTCCCACCAGCTCTGGGTATCACAACTATCCTAATTCAACTCGTTTCAACTCCCTTACGAACGGCCACTCAGAGGCATCACTTGGGCGAGGAGCGGACTCTGTGAGTCAGAGTTTTTATCAGCATAACCCACATCGGTCGCCGTCTTCTGGAGGTGGTGCACACACCCTACCGATCGAAAGTGGGTCCTACTGCAACTTTCTGGAGGAAAGTACGGTTGGTGTCAGCTTCGCTGCAACTCCCTTCGATGGATACTCCAATTTTCACAACTCAACTTCCATTGCGGGTGCAGCAATCAGTAATCATTTGCCTGTTACCGGTCCTTCCTCATCGGACTCGCATGATCCGAATGCCAATCGAACGAACCTTGACATCGCTCATCCGCGCACCTTCATGGATGGACCTTCGCCATCAGTACCCAGCTCTTTTCAGGGTGTACGCAATTCGCGTTTATTGCTAGCCTCTAGTGATGATCCAGACACCCTACATTTGGGTCTGAGCTTTCAGCTACCAGAACGAATGGCCCCGCATGCCTCCCAAGAGACTTTGAGTGCCACCGCGTCACTAATTTCAGTTTTCCACGGACCTCCATCAACCCCTAACAGCCTTCAGCAGACTTTTCCAGAGCTCGCCTAAGTTTTCTTTCTATCCTGGTCACGGCACCAAATTATAGCGCGTAGATCGTGCGCTATAAACTCGGTACGCGACTAGACGGCCAACCAAAAATAATGGATAGAAGACACAACAGTAAGCTAGGGAAAAGTTTATTGGACGGGAGGAGCGTTAGCTAATGCTAAAAATAGGGCACCCGGAGAGAGCTAGCTAGGGAGAATGTCGATGGCATCGAGTGCGTTGACAGAGCGTCGTTCGCAGTCGAGTCGCGCGCGCCAAAGGCGGAGATGGCGTTCGTGTTTTCAACAAACGGGAACAACGTTTCAACAGGCAAACCGCCTAGTTCCCTAATACATAAGAAAGCTATAATTTGAATGTATTTTAGAATAGTTTACACAGTCATACCGGGGAATCTCCAGGTCGCTACAAGCTGCATCCATCATGAATTCGACACCAAAGTACTTCGCAGTCCGCGTTATGGTTCGCAGCGGCATCCACAATATGCACTTTAAGGTCAAGTTTCTAGTAAAGAATGATGCCACCACTAGATCTAATTTCATTGCGGTCAGCTCAAGCGAGGTGATATTTTTCGATGCTCGCCTCCTGGTCCGGAATATCGGAAGACAGCCAAGTCTCTATGAAAGCCATTGGATCAGGGTAGTGTTCTGCAACCAAGTGTTGGATCTCATCTAGCTTGTTTCTTAGGCTGCAAGCATTTGCACATATCACGCGGAGTCCATCCTTTGGCTTTACTGACTTGGAATGACAAATGTTGGTTTCCAGCGAGTTCTCGGGGTCCTCTGGATTACCTGAGAATTCACAATATGGAGGTCGGTTTCTCCATTCAATATGTGATTACGCAATTCCTCATCACATTTTTCATTCTAACTTGATCTTCTGCGGAGTGGTCGTACCTGGACTTAGATACTACCAGGGCGCCCAGACCTAGACAGGAGGACGATCAGGTTTCTCAGCCAAAGTTTTTGGCTCAAAATCCTGTCCGCAAGACAGCTGGGTGGTGGCAACTTTTCGGTTTTTCATAAATGGAGGCCATTCCATTTCAAATCCCCGCCTGGAGGGCCAGGAGACTAAGTTTGTCTGACGTCTAACCGTTTAACCTGGTGGGAATAACTCTTAAGAGGCCCACGGGCCCCACCCAGTATAGCTCAATGGGTCGACGAGGTATGCGAACCGTCACACCACGTTAAGGTCCAGCTTCATTTCGACGGACAGCCTAGTTCACATTTAGTGAGCGTTGTCTGCGTCTTCTTTATGGCACACAAAGTAGCGTTGAACCGCTCTTTATCATTAATTCACGCACCAGTATTCGATGGCAGGCTACTTGTTGTCATCATCGGCAGCACTACATCAACCATTTGCACTGACGCTTCGCTGTCATACAACCACGGTAACCTACGGAGCGAAGTATACTAACAGGGAGAAAAGCGGGGCAAAGCATAAAACCATAGTGCCCTAAGCAAACATTCAGGGTCAAAGTACCGGTACCTTGTGTCAACAACATACCGTCACAAACAGCTGGCTATCATACAAAGCTAAGGCGGCATCGGCGAGACAGCTTCCTTGCGGCTTTACTGCCTCGTGTCATAATCAGCCATTACTCCGCAAATAGCCTAGCACCAACACATTTTAACCAGGCGCCACTGAAGCCGTCTGCGAGTCATGTCCTGGAAGGTCTCGAGCCATGCACATGGTGCGTCACGTAGACTCCAGCCTGGAAGATGAGACGAACCGACAGCACCAAGCTGGACCTTACCGTGGCGCGATGATTTGCGTGCCACAGTGATCCATTGAGCTATGCTGGGTGGTGCCTTTTGGCATCTTCAGAGCCACTCATATCAGATTGGTCAATGGTTGAAGACCAGATAAACTCAGTCTCCAGGTTGGGGATTGCAATGAGAGTGGCTCCTTATTCCCCAAAACGGACTCCTTGTAGCCCACCGCCAAACCTGCTGCTTTGCGATCAGGTTTTTGAATCCAAGGCTTTGCTTGAGAACCCTAATCGCTCTCCTGTCTAGGCCTGGGCAAACTGACAATATCCTGCCCACACAATACTTTCTTTCCTCAAACAACTTCCTGATGCTCTGGCCACGGTGCCCTATCTACTGCATCGAGCAGGGTGGATAGGGGTTTGGATGCTACCGCTCATGCCCTTCTGTCTTCCTATTTCTTTTCTTGCGCTTTTTCACCCTTATCGTCCCGTTATAACTTCACCTTTATCCCCCCGTTTTCAATCGCCTAATTCTTGGCTTTTTCGCACCTCGCTTGGATAGGCACTTACCTTCTACTTTCAAATCGCATGCGAACGCGAAGCGTCATTCCTGCCCCGTCAACAAGCCCATGTCAAAGCAACCGGTGAAGCCCAGTTCATCAGCTTCCATTTGGAGCCCTCGATCTCCCTTCAGATTGGCATGTCTCAATGTTCGTAAATTGCTACAGATCGGTCAACAGGCAGCATTTGCTCGGACATTGGAGACGCTCTCGATCGATATCTGCTGCTTATCGAAGACCCACCTGCAGGACTCGATCTCTCTGCTCACTTTGTTATCCTATTCAGATGACACCGGCAGCACTTTTTCATTGTACCTATTTGCTGACGATGCAACTTCGAGCACCGGCCAAGCTGGTGTTGCCATTGCGCTGAGTCCCCGGGCTAAAGCTGCTCTGGTTGTTTGGATTTCAATCAGTAGCCGGATGTGTGCGGTCCGATTGGCTGGTTCGTTCAAAGCTTCGAAGTCGCGTGGAACTAATAGGTGTCTATTCATCATCGCTGCCTACGCGCCCACAAACTGTAGCGATGATGCGGTAAAAGACGATTACTGCCAACTGACCCAGCTCCGCCACAGCAGAAGCACCGATACTATTATGCTGATTGGGGATCTGAATACTCAAAATGGAAAATTACCCACTGATGAACTGCACCTGGGTGGCCAACACAGTGTAGGCTACCGTAATGATAACGGCGAGTATGCTCATCTAATTCTTGCGAGCAATAATTTCCGACACCGCACCCGCCGGATGGTAACTTGGCGCCCACTAGCCTCGAATCAGCTATAGACGCAAATCGATGACTTTGCGATCAGTTAACGCTGTCGCTCGATTTGGAGCACATGTGTGGTCATCGGTCATGCACTTGTATGTGCTGACCTGCGGAGGTGTTTTGGCGGATGCCCACGATGACGCTGTGAGCAGATTAACACAACTGTTTTGAGTACGTCTCGAAATACGCTGACATGCGTGTTGAGTAAGCGCTCATTGGAGACAATTAAAGGTCACTGGTCACATGTTCACCAGACCTTACTAACAGCAGGAAAATCCTCATGTGGTAAATCTGATAGCCAACATGGACACTGGGTCTCTTCGCAGTCTCTGGAACTTATCGCTGCTCGCCTGCATATCCTAGCTGGAAGCGAACACAATGAAACTCGCAAAGAGCTCCGGGCAAGACTCCGTGTAGCCTAAAGAGAGACTGTGAACCTTGGTGGTCTCTTCGTGCGTCAGAGATGGAAATAGTCGCTGGCCTTGGTAACCATTGTAAGTTATTCCGTCTGATACGGGAAACAGGCAGCAGGAGACCTGGAGTTGGCGAAATTATACGTGACGAGAGTGGACAGCCTATCCACAATTTGTCAAAATGTTTAGACTGTTGGGCTGAGCACTTTGAACGGCAATCTAATCGGTCAGAATTGTTCGATTCTTCGCCGGCTAGTGATCGCCCTGCTCCGTGGGCTGTCCCTTTGGATCTGCCCTCTCGCTCAGAAGTGAGAGACCGGACGGTTAAAGTTGGACAAAGCCACGGGACCAGATGATCTTCATCCAGCCATCTTCAAATTCGGGGGACCTGCTCTTGTTGACGATTTACATGAATTGCTAGTGAAACTGTGGGAGCAGGAGACTGTCCCAACCGACTGGAGCCGCTCCGTTATTGTTCCCATCTTCAAAGGAGGCTCACGATCGGAATGCGGTAACCATAGAGGAATCAGTCTGATCTCCATCGCATCCAAATTACTTGCCTCCATAATCCTTCACAGACTCACTGGCGCTCGTGAAAGCCAGATTCGTGAGGAGCAAGTCGGGTTTCGCCGGGGTCGTGGCTGCATCGACCACATCTTCACTTTGCGTCAGTTGTTGGAGCACCGTCACATATATTGGCGGCCCACTGTAGTCGTGTTCCTCGACATCAAAGGTGCCTTCGAATCGGTTGATCGATGTGCCCTTTGGAATTGTCTACTCAGGAAAGGTGTGCCCGAGAAATATGTAAATATTATCCGAGCATTATACGCGCATAGCTCGAGCAGAGTGAGGGCTTACGGCAAGCTGTCACCACCCTTCAATATCTCCAGCGGTGTGAGACAAGGATGCCCGCTGTCATCTTTCCTCTTCAACTTCGCTTTTGTTGAAGTCATGGAGATCGCGTTCACAGGGCACGAC